CTCTGCGTAACCCCCTCTTTGATTCTTCTCAATTTAACATTTTTACCTCCAAACAGTACAAATGATTGCCAACCGTTTAGGTATTTCATTGTCCATCTTTTCCGTCCGGAGAGAGCATAAATTTTTCGATGTAATCAAACGGCATTGTGTAGTTGACTTTTGACAAATCCACGCTACGTCCTCCCGCAGAGTAGTTTTTGATTAAAACCATGAACTATCTAGGCGTCGGGAGTAGAAAGGTCTAAAGTGTCTTCACTACTAGGGAAAGGAAAAGTTATCGCGCCATAGGACTCCCCTCTTGTGGGCAGGTTTCCCACGTTTCAGCAGGGGGCCGCTTTTCCACACATCGGGTATTTGAAAAGTAGTCAGCAACAGATTGAAGACTTTGGTGAACATACTTACTCCCGTCGGCGAAGATGCTTTAGCATCAGCATGTTTATTTCATCAGGGCCAATGGATTTGGATGGTTATACTTTATCGATGTCACTCCGAATCTACTCATCAGTGAAAGTAAGTGGTGCGCAGTATTTTGGCATTTTGCGTAGGCGTCGTATTACACATCCTATGTCTTTTTCTACCAAAGGGTGTAGTGTAAATTGCTGGCTGAAATAGCTCGCGTACTTCTTCGGGACCAAAGAGGCCTATTCATTGAATTTAATTTCATCTCGGTCATCAGATTTCTCCGGGTTAAACAAACCCTTGACAGTAGTCTAAACTTTACTGACGCCGTTGAAGAGGTTCTCCAAATTGAGAACCCTTATGCGGGAATCACAAGGATAGACATGGCGTAAGGTGTCGCGAAGAGCTTGTTCGGCTGGAAAATGGGGTGCATTCTTCCGGGATGAAGCGAGAGATAGCAACTGCGATCACTTGGCGATTATTTCCGTAGTTAGTTCTTCTTCTTGATTGGCGTAGACACCGCTTACGCGATTATAGCCAAGGTAACAACAGCGCGCCAGTCGTTTCTTCTTTTCACTATGTGGCGCCAATCAGATATTCCAAGTGAAGCCAGGTCCTTCTCCGCTTGGTCCTTCCAACGGAGTAGAGGTCTTACTCTTCCTCTGCTTCCCCCGGCGGGTACTGCGTCGAATAATTTCAGAGCTGGAGTGTTTTCGTCCATCCGGACAACATGACCTAGCCAGCGTAGCCGCTGCGAATTAAAAGCTGAACTATGTCAATGTCGTCATATATCTCGTACAGCTCATCGTTCCATCGAATGCGATATTCGCCGTGGTCAACGCGCAAAGGACCATAAATCTTTCGCAGAACTTTTCTCTCCAAAACTCGCAACGTCGACTCATCTGTTGTTGACATCGTCCAAGCCTCTGCACCATATAGCAGGACGGGAATTATGAGTGACTTATAGAGTTTGGTTTTTGTTTGTCGAGAGAGGACTTT